GGTGCCTCTTCGATTTTGGAGTAAGCAATCTTGTTGGGAGTATTTTCTCGGATGTGAGTAAAGGTTGGGCATGTTTGCTAGTCTACCTTGCCACGAAGCACGGAGGTTGACACACAGGGACTTTCCAATTATCCAGCAGTGGTACTGTGCCTTTACCCTTATGGGTAATAATATGGTAGCTAGACCTTCAAAATTTATGTGTCTAAACTTTGTTAGTGCTGTTTCTTTGCTATTCTTTTACCTTTCTTGGTCAGAGCGATGTAGTGGGAGCTGCAAGCTTCACGTGCTCAACTTTGGCAGAGACTTTGGCAAAGTTATCTGTGGTACCCATGAGCTATTGTTGCGTGTGGGAAGTGGGTGATTGAACAGTAAGATTCATGTGCTTTCTACTTCACCAGAAGTCTTCGACAGAATGCCCATAATTTCCGCAAAGCTGAGTGTGTGTGTGTGACAGGTGCTGACAAGGCTAGAAAAGTAGGTGCCTCTTCGATTTCTGAGATCGGCCCTCGTGGTCTCTGAGCAGCCCAGCTTTTGAGAAAGCGAGCGCCTCTTCGATTGATTCGGAGAACGATGCCTCTTCGATTTTTGAGAAAGCAATCATGTTGGGGGTCTGGCTCTTGAGATTCGGGGAGCAGTGTCTCTTCGATTTTTTAGAAAGTAATCATGTTGGGAGTCTGGCTCTCGAGATTCGGAGGGCGGTGCCTCTTCGATTTTGGAGCAAGCAATCTTGTTGGGAGTGTTTTCTCGAATGTGAGTAAAGGTTGGGCATGTTTGCTAGTCTACCTTGCCACGAAGCACAGAGGTTGACACACAGGGACTTTCCAATTATCCAGCAATGGTACTGTTCCTTTACCCTCTCTTCGATTTTTGAGAAAGTAGTCATGTTGGAAGTCTGGCTCTCGAGATTCGGAGGACGGTGCCTCATCGATTTTGGAGCAAGCAATCTTATTGGGAGTGTTTTCTCGAATGTGAGTAAAGGTTGGGCATGTTTGCTAGTCTACCTTGCCACGAGGCACAAAGGTTGACACACAGGGACTTTCCAATTATCCAGCAGTGGTACTGTTCCTTTACCCTTGTGGGTAATAATATGGTAGCTAGACCTTCAAAATTTATGGGTCTAAACTTTGTTAGTGCTGTTTCTTTGCTATTCTTTTACCCTTCTTGGTCAGAGCGATGTAGTGGGAGCTGCAAGCTTCACGTGCTCAACTTTGGCAGAGAACTTTGGCAAAGTTATCTGTGGTACCCATGAGCTATTGTTGCGTGTGGGAAGTGGGTGATTGGACAGTAAGATTCATGTGTTTTCTACTTCCCCAGAAGTCTTCGACAGAATACCCATAATTTCCGCAAAGCTGAGTGTGCGTGTGACAGGTGCTGACAAGGCTGGAAAAGTAGGTGCCTCTTCGATTTCTGAGATCAGCCCTCGTGGTCTCTGAGGAGCCCAGCTTTTGAGAAAGCGAGCGCCTCTTCGATTTCTGAGATCGACTTTCGTGGTCTTTGAGCAGCCCAACTTTTGAGAAAGCAAACACCTCTTCGATTTATGCGATCAACCCTCGTGGTCTCTAAGCAGCCCAGCTTTTGAGAAAGCAAACGCCTCTTCGATTTCTGAGCAGGCGCCTCTTCGATGTCTGAAGCTCCGTCGAGTGCAGCTTTTTATAGGGGCTAGCATTAAGTTCCAAAGCACACTTGAATCTCCACCAGTAGAAGCTCCATTCTTGCACTTCTAAGATTTTGATTTATCCGACCTCTTCTCTCTTCAACACCTTTGAAAATGTCTGGCCCCTCCGACCGTCGTTTTGACTTGAACCTTGTTGAAGAGGCAGCCCCGCCTTCTCCAGACAACATATGGCGCCCATCCTTCGTCTCCCCTACTGGTCCTCTTACCGTTGGGGATTCCGTGATGAAGAATGATATGACCGCTGCGGTGGTGGCCAGGAACCTTCTCACTCCCAAAGATAACAGACTACTTTCCAAACGGTCTGATGAGTTAGCTGTTAAGGATTCGCTGGCTCTCAGTGTTCAGTGTGCAGGTTCTGTGTCTAATATGGCCCAACGCCTATTTGCTCGAACCCGCCAAGTTGAATCATTGGCGGCCGAAGTGATGAGTCTCAAACAGGAGATTAGAGGGCTCAAGCATGAGAATAAACAGTTGCACCGGCTCGCACATGACTATGCTACAAACATGAAGAGGAAGCTTGACCAGATGAAGGAAACTGATGGTCAGGTTTTACTTGATCATCAGAGATTTGTGGGTTTGTTCCAAAGGCATTTATTGCCTTCGTCTTCTGAGGCTGTAACGCGTAATGAAGCTCCAAATGATCAACCTCTGATGCCTCCTCCTTCTAGGGTTTTGTCCAGTACTGAGGCTCCGAATGATCCCCCTCCGATGCCTTCTCTTTCTGAGGCTCTACCGACTGCTGAGACTTCTCCTAAGCAACCTTTGTGAAGGCTCCATCTTGTTTGTTTATTTTGACTCATGTATATGTACATATTTGTAGCTTATCGGGGATATCAATAAATAAGCTTTTCTTCATTTCAACGTATTGTGTTAAATACACCAAAGCCTTCTTCGCTAAGTTCTTTGAATTTTCTTTTGTTGAAGCTTGTATGTTGAAGCTTTCTGAGTAGAGCATGTAGGTTGGGGTAGTGTTCCCTTAATTTTCCGAGTGAGGAAAACTTCTCGGTTGGAGACTTCGAAAATCCAAGTCACTGAGTGGGATCGGCTATATGAATCTTAGAACGCCATTGTGCTCGGTCCTGTGTCATGTCCTTCGTTAGATCCAAGTACTCTAAGTCTTTTCTTAGAGTTTCTTCCAAAGTTTTCCTAGGTCTTCCTCTACCCCTTCGGCCCTGAACCTCTGTCCCATAGTCGCATCTTCTAATCGGAGCGTCAGTAGGCCTTCTTTGCACATGTCCAAACCACCGTAACCGATTTTCTCTCATCTTTCCTTCAATTTCGGCTACTCCTACTTTACCCCGGATATCCTCATTCCTAATCTTATCCTTTCTCGTGTGCCCACACATCCAACGAAGCATCCTCATCTCCGCTACACCCATTTTGTGTACGTGTTGATGCTTCACCGCCCAACATTCTGTGCCATATACAGCATCGCCGGCCTTATTGCCGTCCTATAAAATTTTCCCTTGAGCTTCAGTGGCATACGGCGGTCACACAAACACGCCAGATGCACTCTTCCACTTCATCCATCCAGCTTGTATTCTATGGTTGAGATCTCCATCTAATTCTCCGTTCTTTTGCAAGATAGATCCTAGGTAACGAAAACGGTCGCTCTTTGGTATTTCTTGATCTCCGATCCTCACCCCTAACTCGTTTTGGCCTCCATTTGCACTGAACTTGCACTCCATATATTCTGTCTTTGATCGGCTTAGGCGAAGACCTTTAGATTCCAACACTTCTCTCCAAAGGTTAAGCTTTGCATTTACCCCTTCCTGAGTTTCATCTATCAACACTATATCGTCTGCGAAAAGCATACACCAAGGAATATCATCTTGAATATGTCCTGTTAACTCATCCATTACCAACGCAAAAAGGTAAGGACTTAAGGATGAGCCTTGATGTAATCCTACAGTTATGGGAAAGCTTTCGGTTTGTCCTTTCATGAGTTCTTACGGCAGTCTTTGCTCCTTCATACATATCCTTTATAGCTTGGATATATGCTACTCGTACTCCTTTCTTCTCTAAAATCCTCCAAAGAATGTCTCTTGGGACCCTATCATACGCTTTTTCCAAATCTATAAAGACCATGTGTAAATCCTTTTTCCCATCTCTATATCTTTCCATCAATCTTCGTAAGAGATAGATTGCCTCCATGGTTGAGCGCCCTGGCATGAACCCAAATTGGTTGTCCGAAACCCGTGTCTCTTGCCTCAAAATCTATGCTCGATGACTCTCTCCCAGAGCTTCATTGTATGACTCATTAGCTTAATACCCCTATAGTTCATGCAATTTTGTACGTCGCCCTTATTCTTGTAGATAGGCACCAAAGTGCTCGTTCGCCACTCATTTGGCATCTTCTTCGTTTTCAAAATCCTATTGAAAAGGTCAGTGAGCCATGTTATACCTGTCTCTCCCAAAACTTTCCACACTTCGATTGGTATATCGTCTGGGCCTACTGCTTTTCTATGCTTCATCTTCTTCAAAGCTACAACCACTTCTTCCTTCCGGATTCGACGATAAAAAGAGTAGTTTCTACACTCTTTTGAGTTACTCAACTCCCCTAAAGAAGCACTCCTTTCATGTCCTTCATTGAAAAGATTATGAAAATAACCTCTCCATCTGTCTTTAACCGCGTTCTCTGTAGCAAGAACCTTTCCATCCTCATCCTTGATGCACCTCACTTGGTTTAGGTCCCTTGTCTTCTTTTCCCTTGCTCTAGCTAGTTTATAGATATCCAACTCTCCTTCTTTGGTATCTAGTCGTTTATACGAATACTTCTCTTCGATTAAGTTTATATTGAAATATCGTCCGAATGAAAAATTGGCAAAAATAAAACTTAAAAGTTCCCAATCCTTACATATATTTTAAGGATAATCAAATTCACATTTATTTTTACCTCCTATACACTCTTGTTAAATTAATGAATTCATTCGGTCCGACGACCGAAAACTGAGAATATGTGAGAAGTAAAAGTGAATGTGGGTAACACTACCCTATATTCTTCTCACTAACTTGTTACCCAAATTATGTTCGTAACAAGCTCGTTTTTTGTTATTGCAAATAGTTGTTTTCATGTTTGATTGTTGTAGGTTTAAATTTTCCATGTCATGTTTGTATCTTATGGTTTTTCAAAAATAGAAAAGATAGACTACTTATACTTTAAACCATGGACCTCTATTGAGCTCAATAACTCCTGCCATGGACAACATATCCCCCATTAGTCGAGGATGGAGGCTCTGCATAGTTGCAAGCTGCATCGTTCCGATATTCTTTCTCAAACACGGCCACGACAGTGTAAACCTATCAACTCTTAGGAACATAGACATAACATCAACAATATCGGCCAATGAATCGGATGCAAACATGCAGTTCTTACAACAAGCAAACTTCGAGGAACATGTGACACAATTGAATGAAGAAGACAAGTGCAACATACTTAATGGAAAATGGGTTTACGATCCAAAGGGAAGTCCTATGCACGAAGGGGCACAGTGTACGTTTCTTAGTGATCAAGTCAGCTGCCAAAGGAATGGAAGAACGGATTTCCCCAGCTTAACAGAGACCAGTGGGAATCCCTACCTTGTCTTCTTTACTCAGCTCTACCTCCCTCTCAAACCCTAGACGATGTGAAAAGCGGCATCTACAAGGTCTTCACAGCTAAGGAAGGTTTAGTTTTCATTTATACGATTAATCTTCTGTCACTGAACTATTTTCTTTATATATAAGCGACATACTCGGGAGAAGAAAATAAAAAACAGGACCTTGACTTCTTAACTGTGAAGGTGTTGCTTGTTTCTATAACCGCAGGCGTACAACTTTTCTGTCGAAGTTCTACTGGAGTCCATTTCTAATGCAGCAGAAAGTGAACCAAGATAACGGGGCTAGAATTCTTAGGCTTGAAAGAGTCACAACCTCAGCCATGAAGTAGTAAGGGGCAGACATTATGGTATTCAACACCGGTCACTGGTGGGCGCACAGGAAAATCAAGACGCAAGTCACCTGTGATCTACTAAAGAAAATGAATGAATATTTTTCAAGGCGTCTGTCTAATAGAAGTCGGACATTCAGGTGGGACTTGTTTCAATACGATGGCAAAACAGTGGAGAATATGGAGATTGAATTAGCATTTGATATGGCGATGAATACCTGGGCACGTTGGGTTGATCAAAATGTGGATGTGACTAAAACCAGAGTGCTCTTCCGGAGCATTTCACCAGAGCACAGGGGAAAGCATTGGTGTTGCAACAAAACCCAACCCATCTTAGACGATTCCAACGAGACAATATTTCCCGGGAAAATTATAAAAGTTGTTGAGAGAACAATGCAGCGCCCAGTGACGTACCTGAACATTACAAAGCTATCTCAGCACGGAAGAGATGCGCATCCAGCAGTTTAAGGAACGAAGGAGTGGAAGCAGTTGTTAGCTTTGCAAAATAGAAAACCGGAGACTTATGCTAATTGCAGCCACTGGTGTTTGCCTGGCCTGCCAGATACCTAGAAAAGGCTGGCCTTGGACACCTCCAAAGTCATTCTTAGTTTTTAACCTCTTGTTTGATCTGTCATGAGTGTTAGTAAACTTGGTATACTTCGTTCTTCATAAGGTTGAATGAAATGTCAAAGAGAAGACAGGAATTACAAGAAAAGATGAAATGTACAAAAACAGTACCTGCCGTTAACTATTAACCTGAACAGCTGCCAATACATGTCGGGGTACCCTGTCTAAACGAGCAGACAAACCAAAATCGAGTATTCTAAATCATGAAAATTTACCTTCTGTATGGAATATGGATGTAAAATGCCTGCATGTGCTTTATCTAATATAGCTTTCTTTAGCAAAGACAATAGACAAATAAACAAATATGCTGAAGAAATTAATGTACAAGCATACGAACAAGATGTGCGAGTACTTGTGCATCCACAGTTGTTAATACGTTTTCCAATCAGTAGCAAAAGCATGAAACTACGATCCGTTATTCCCCTCTAGGCACTTATTTGAACCAGTAACAAAAAATTTAATAGAAAAGAACACGAGAAGCAAAAAATACAGCATAGCAGAACAAACAATAGCTAACCATAGACAATAATAGTAACCAACTTATTAACAATGGTGACCATAAAGGGAGGACTCTATTGGGTCGGACCCATTTGTAATATAAACCTCAAGTACTTAATCTTATGGCCATTACATAATTGTTAATATACTGAAGACTAGAGCATCAGACAATTGGCGTTTTACCCACTTAGGTACAAATTTTATCCTAAGCTAGGAATTTTGAATGGCACCATGACCAGGAAGGAGAGGCTGCAGTGAGGCGGTTTATTTACACAAGCTTTTACAAGGGTACCTAGAGAATCTCCCATTCAGATTCACAAATTTCATGAGCTAATGATTTCTGTGTCTCCTCCACAGTCAGAGAATGCCTGAGACGTTCTCCAGCTTTTAAATTTGATTTTGCATCATCCCCATACCATAATGCAAGCTGCTCATACTCTTGCTTCCTTGCTGATCTCATTCTCAAAGCATTCTGAATTTTTTTCTAGAAAATAGGTCCCAATTAAAGCCAATTAAAATAGGTAGAAGATAGGGGGTGAGAGTGAGAGAATGAGGAGAGAGAGAGAGAGGGAGAGGGAGAGAGGGAGAGTGGGATAACCTTGTAAGGCCTACGCTTGCCTTCCATGTGAGGAACAAAACGAACGTCCTTACCAGTCACCATTACACAAGTCTCCTCGAGCATTGCCTTTTCAGATTGTTGAATGGTTTCCGTTCCATGTACAACAGCATTACTCTCAGTTGCATGAAAGTTGGATTCATGCAAACCCCCTGGAAAAATGAGTCATTGGTTACTACTACTACTACAAGCACAAATAACTTTCAATTGAGCATGATCAGTAAACCCATCAAGTACACAACTCTACATGTATGAAAGAACGTGCAATTTTTCATGAACTAGTATAAAATCTAGACCCCACATGAATGTAAATAAAAAACGGTCCATAGTGAAAAAAAAGTCTCCATTATTTTCTCATAGTTATCATCTCTGCAGAGACATTTCTGAGTCAATACTTGTCAATATAAAAACTGATATGTGGTTATTGTGCATCGGAATGAGATATACTGAGTGTTACCAGGATGAGACGAAGAGATTTCCTTGTCAGCATTTTTTTCAGAGTGTGCTTGTCCACTTGGAGAGGATCCTAACAAAGAAATAAACGAATTGCTCAAACAATTGTCTGCAGCAGCCAAACCGGAAATCGAAAGAGAACAAGTAGCAAGGCTGGTGAAAACAAAACACTTTTATAGGGTTAAAAAAGAATAACCACCGTTTCTTTCTACTGATGAGCAACCAAAGGATGAATCTAATATTTCCTTCCATTCTTTTGCTTCCAATTCATCCAAAACAAACATATTACATGTTCGGCAGTCAACTGAAGCATCAGCTGTACATTGGCTTGTATTTGCAATCACACAACTTTCCCTTGTGGACTTCCATGTCATACCTTCGGTTATAGATGGGGTTATAGCTGTATCTCTATGGTCGCTCAAAACTTCATGGGTATCATCCAAATTTACACGGCAGGATGTTGAGTGCCTGCTCAAATCAGATTCAAGAGGAGCTATTGCCCCGGGAAATCTGTCCTTGATTGGGTTTTCTTTGACAACCAAGTTTGAATTATTAAAATTACTCCCATCATGGTCTTGTCTTGAGTATACATCCGAGCACGCTCCTCTTGCACAATTCTCTGAGGATAGCATGCGATATTCATCCATGTGCTGTCCATGGAACAATGATTTATGGTCCACACCCATATTCAATGCAGCAATCACCTCTGAATCCCCATTTACTATTTCAACATCAACTTTTACCGGCTCTCCTTTCTTGCTAACCTTTGATTTTTTAGAACTACCAACATGAAAGTTATTTTCTACAGGGTTCCCATTGGCTGGCATAGCCTCTGGATCTACTGCAGAGTCACAAACCAAATCTTGCATTACATCTGCATAGAACTTCATAACACTTGCACCAACAGTCTGTACCTGATTCTCAACAAATTTGACTGTGTCCTGTTCCAAATAAAGAATGATCAACAAAACAAGTTGACTCCGGAACAAAATTAACACGACCACTATCTCATATAATCACTGAACCACATAAACACCATATTTGGCATAGACCACACTAATACAAATAAGCACAGAAATAATTGTGAAAACCCCAGTAGAAGATAAATATATAAAAAATTGGTTTAGTTCAATTTCATATTTCTGCATGGGTTAATAGACATTTCTTTTTTTTAACATAAGGTCAACAGAAGTAATTTTCCTCTTCAGCTAAGGTTAATTTAAAACAATTTTCCTCTCCAACTAAGGTCAACACCACTTGCTAAACTTTCTATTCATTGACGTCTCTCTAAAAGCACTAAAATGTTAATTGACTCACGCCTAGTGTTGAATTTTTTTGGTGATCTCAAACAAATTACTCCAAAGAAAAATACAGGTCAGGTCATACCCAGTGCACAAGGCTCCCGCTTTACGCAGGGTCTGGGAGAGGTGAATGTCGGCTAGCCTTACCCCCATTTATGGAGAGGCTGCTCCCAAGTCTCGAACCCGAGACCTACCGCTCATGGGCGAAGGCACTTGCCATTGCACACGACAAAAATATTTTCATAAGCACTGAAAGTGGGAGGATGAAGAGGAAGAGGAAGGATAAATGAAAACTTATGATGAACACTTCCAGACCAGCAGTCTATGGTCATTATTCCTTTTATGTAGATGAGACCTCAATTTAGGAGTCCAAGAGACATAAAAGGACTGCCAAAGGGCTTACCTGGTACATATCTTCTTCAACCTCCAAGCACATTGTCTCAAATTTCTGGTATACACCCCCAACCCAGGTTATACCTTTCACATCCATACTTATCATATATTAAACTTTACAGAATCGTTGTATGTCTCCGGATATTTTGTAATTCCCCCACTCAGTTTCTACATCAATTGGTATTTATCTGCAAGAAATCATATAAAATTTAGTAGAAGCCCACAAAGAATGCATAAAAATGGCTCTTAGGAAGAAGAACCCCATAGAACGTTGAGATTTTCCATCCCTCAAAATGACACTAAGCTGTAAGAACACATGAAGATCAGCAGAATTACACCATAAAAATCACTGTGCATGTTCTATATAAGAACCATGTTATGGTTTCACCCCGCGAACCAAATAAATCCGACAAACAACGAAACTGATTGAACAGTAACTTTATCCAGTGACCAATTGTACACTGTATATCACCTCAAAAGAGGATTATCATCAAGCACCACAGCATAAGGTTTGACGGGTATTCGGTACAATTTAGTTTACTGAAACAGAGGTTGAAATATTATTGATTGGAACCCCTATCATAATATGATTGAAAGTCTCATCATCCTATTGTTACTTCCAATTTTTCCAAAAGGAAAACAAATGCCCCAGAGTTTGAGAGACGCCCAAACAAATGATCAAATATATTTTAATATAAAACAAAACCTGTTTATTTCAGGAAGCAACAGCATAAAAGATCCTTAACTTGAAAAGGAAAACAACCCATCTGCAATCAACGGAAACCCACATAGAACCCTCCAATTAAATTACAATTTCTCTCTCACAACGCAGAAAGCACAAAAATTGATTTGAAAAAAATAGCTACGTCATATGAATTTCCATTTTCCAGCAATTTTCCAGGTAACCAAACAGGTAATTGAAAAGAGAGCTTGCTTGTGGATTGTAATCATGATCAGAAGAAGTAAAGTTTGATGATCGTGATGAAAATTGAGGATTGAGAACTTACTTGTTGCTGTGAATTGTGAGAGCAGAAGAACAGAAACCCAGAAGAGAAGAACAGAAACCCAAAATCTCTGAGAAGAGTCTTGGATTATTGCATAAACCCCTGTTGGAAGGAACAATATAATACGGAAGGAGGGAGGTACAAGAAACGTAAAGACACAATTCATTTCATTGGGGGCTTCTTCTACCCTCCACGTGTCCAATTTATTTTTTATTTTTTAGTGGAATATTTATTAAAAATCTTTGTCTTGCTGATAATTTTGTTTTTGTTATAAATAGGCAAAAGTAGATAAATAACTTTTGCTAAGAGGGACGATGAAGTGGTGCAAAATATCATACTGATAAAAGTATTGCAGGTATTAAAAACTGAGGGATATTGAGAGTTTTATATTTCTTCCTTTTCTCTTCTTGATGTTCTTTTCTCGCTTTGAACAAATGAAGTGCTCTATTTATAGAGCCACTTCAATAGAAAATTATAAAATGATTACTATTTAGCTTGTGAGTTTATATTATACACATGTGATACTTTACTATACACATTACTATATATATGTGGGCAAACATACTCATTAATTACAACACTCCCCCTTGGATGCCCACATATCAACATCAGTTGCCTCATTAAAACCCTGCTTGGAAAAACTCAATAGGAAAAAAACCATAACGAAAGAAAAAGAGTAAAACTTTACCCGAATGGTGTTGAGCATGCTTATGTTGCCTCGTTAAAACCTTGATAGGAAAAACCCAGTGGAGAAAATCCTAATCGAAGGAAAAAGAGTACAACATGCATGTATTATAGATGCTCCCCCTAAATTGTATCTCCCCCTACGTAAGCCAACGTAATCAGATTTCCTGCACTAACTTCTGAAATGTGCACTTTGGTTGAGATTTGGTGAACAAGTCTGCTAAATTTTCATTGGAACGGATTTGTCCGACTTCAATAACTTTACCCTTCTGAAGCTCATGTGCACTGAAAAATCTTGGAGAGATGTGTTTAGTCTTATCACCTTTGATGAATCCTTCCTTCATTTGGGCGACACATGCTACATTATCTTCATGGATGACAGTTGAAGTGTCTGGCTTTGAAGGTAGACCACATGAATTCCGGATGTGATGGATCATTGATTTTAACCAAGAACATTCACAACTTGTTTCATGTAAAGCAATTATTTCCGAGTGATTGGAAGATGTAGCAACTAGCGTTTGCTTCGTTGATCGCCATGAAATTGCAGTATCTCCATAAGTGAACACATATCCATTTTGTGAGCGGGCTTTATGCGGATCGAAGAGAAAACCAGCATCTGCGTATCTAACAAGGATCTGATCATTTGTGGGCTTGTCTGAGTAGAAGAGACCCATATCTGTTGTCCCACGAAGGTATCGTAGAACATCTTTGACTCATTTCCAATGACGAATTGTTGGAGCAGAGCTGTACCTGGCTAACAAGTTAACTGAAAAAGCTATATATGGTCTAATACATTGTGCTAAATACAATAAAGCACCTATTGCGCTCAAATATGGTATTTCTGAACCAATGACCAGTTCATCATTGTCTTTTGGACGGAATTGATCTTTCTTAATGTCCAAAGAACGAACGACCATTGGGGTGCTAAGTGGATAAGCCTTGTCCATACCAAATCGCTTCAGTATTTTTTTCAATGTAAGCTGATTGATGGACCAAAATTCCATTAACACAATGCTCGATCTGCAGGCCGAGACAATATTTGGTTTTTCCAAGGTCTTTCATTTCAAATTCGCTTTTCAGATAGTCAACAGTTTTGTTGAGCTTTTCAGGGGTTCCAACTAGGTTCATATCATCGACGTATACTACCACTATTGCAAATCCAATATTTGATTTCTTAATGAACATACAAGGGCAGATGACATTGTTAGCATATCCTTCTTTAATCAAATACTCACTGAGACGATTATACCACATTCGCCCAAATTGTTTCAGCCTATATAGTGATCGCCTGAATTTGATTGAGAACATACATCGTGGTTTGTTAGTTGCTTCAAGCAACTTAAGTCATTCTAGGACTTTTATATATGTCTGTATCTAATTCTCCATATAGATACGCGGTGATGACATCCATAAGTCGCATGTTAAGTTTTTCTGAAATCACCAAACTTATTAAGTAACGGAACGTAATTGCATCCATTACAAGAGAGTATGTCTCTTCATAATCAATTCCAGGTCTTTGTGAAAAACCTTGTGCAACGAGTCGTGCTTTATATCTTGCAATCTCCTTTTTCTCATTGTGTTTCCTTGTGAATACCCATTTGTAACCTACGGGGTTCACACCAGGTGGGGTTTGGACTGCTGGTCCAAAAACACTTCGTCTTTCCAAGGAATTTAATTCTGCCTGGATTGCATCTTTCCACTTAGGCCAATCTTGTTTCTGTCTGCATTCATCAACAGAGTGGGGCTCAACATCATCACTTAATATAATTTCAGTGGCTATTGCAAATGCAAACATGTCCTCGACGATTATTTCATTTCGATCCCACAATTCATTAGTACATGCATAATTTATGGATATTTCTTTGCTTTCATGTACTTCTGTCTTTTCAGGGACATGTGTCTCATCAAGGACATTTTGTTTTTCTGGAAGTACATAATCATGAATTGTGGATTTATCATTCAATTTCTTTTCTTGAATAATATCATTTGGGTTCAACTGTGCCCTCATCTTTCTCTTTTGAGGGGATGAATCTTTTGAACCTGGGGGTCTACCACGCTTCAGGCGTGCACTGGATGAATCATTCACTGTCACCTTATTTTGCCCAACAGGGACATCAATTCTTGCAGGTGCGTTTGCAGCTGGTATATGTGACTTTGTCACTTTCGAAGCATCATTAAATGCATCTGGCATTTGATTAGCAATACCTTGAAGATGAATGATCATTTTCACTTCATTTTCACATTAAGTGCTTCGTGGATCAAAATGAGATAAGGTGGGAACAACCCATGTCAGTTATTGTCGTTCTTCTGGAACAGTCTTTTCTCCCCTTAACGACGGGAAAACTGTCTCATCAAAATGACAATCAGCAAAACGAGCTGTAAACATATCACCAGTCAAATGTTCCAAATATCTAATGATAGATGGTGAATCAAAACCCACATAAATTCCCAGTCTGTGTTGAGGTCCCATTTTAGTTTGTTGTGGTGGTGCAATAGGCACATAAACAGCACAACCAAAAACTCGTAAATGTGAAATGTTTGGCTGATGTCCAAACACGAATGGTAATGATGAATATTGGTGGTTGGCTATGAGTCTCAATCTAACCAATGATGCAGCATGTAATATGGCATGTTCCCATGCAGAGACTGGCAATTTCGTTTTCATGAGTAGAGTGCGGGCTATTAATTGAAGCCGCTTGATAAATGCTTCTGCTAAACCATTTTGAGTATGGACATAAGGAACAGGGTGTTCAACATCAATGTCCAATGCCATACAGTAATCATCAAAGGTTTGAGATGTAAATTCACCAGCGTTATCAAGTCGGATTAACTTAATGGGATGATTTGGGAACTGTGTTCGTAACTTAATTATCTGAGCAAGAAGTCTCGCAAAAGCTACATTTCGAGTAGACAATAGGCAAACATGTGACCATCGAGTAGATGCATCAACCAAAACCATAAAAATATCGAAATGGTCCACAAGGTGGTTGAATAGGTCCACAAATATCCCCTTGAATTCTTTGAAAAAATGATGGGGATTCTTCATCAACCTTGAGTTGTGATGGTCTAATTACTAACTTCCCTTGAGAACAAACCTTGCAAAGGTTATCATTTGAGACATCAATGTGTCTGCTCAATAATGGATGTCCATTAGAGTTGGTAATGATTCTACACATCATGGTAAATCCTAGATGACCTAGACAGTCATGCCAAAGCATGTAAACCTTTGAATCAATGAACTTCTAGTTCATGACAGTATATGCCTCAACTGTCTTTATGTATGTATAATACAATCCATTCGATAAACCATGCAACTTTTCCAATATACGCTTCTGGGTATCATTGGAGGTAATGCATAAATATTCCACATTTTCTACACTTTTCGTTTCAATGTGGTATCCATTTAGATGTATGTCTTTAAAACTTAACAAATTTCGAATGGATCGAGTAGCATATAATGCATTCTTTATGGACAATATTGTTTCATTTGGTAGCATAATCTGGGCTTTTCCTGAGCCTTCAATTACATCAGATTGTGTTGTTACCTTTACTTTTGCAAGTACCAAATTCGAGAAATACTTTCGATCTCGAAGTATTGAATGCATGGTTGCGCTGTCTGCAAGACAAAAGTCTCCGCCATTGGTCTTGTTTTGAGAATAACCATAATTTTTATCCATGTTCTCTGAGTAAAGAAAAAAACAATTTATTCATACTGGAATACTACTTTTATTGAATTGAAAATGCGAGCATTAAATTACATGTACAAATAACAATAGTACATTAAACATAAATAATTCAATCGGACCCATAAACTTCATTCCCTCTTTCATTAATAAAGTCTGTAGCATCCAGGTGGGTTGTGTTTAATTGTCCTGATAAATTGGTCACTGGATCAGGGGTGTCCATTGGTTGAGCCTGGTCGAAGAAATTGATCTCGACACCCTTCTCCTTGAAGGAGGCTTGATACAGCTCCACCAGATGCTTTGGGATGCGACAAATTCGCACCCAATGTTCTTTGCCACTACACCTATGACAAACTCCTTCAGGATTTCTAGGAGTGTTCATATGAGCTTTTCCTTTCTGGTGATTTACATTTTTAAAGCTCGGGCCTGGATTATGCATTGGAATCTGGTTGTGAAACTGGACACCATGGTTCTTGCCTTTCCCTTTCCACCGGCCTTGCTTGTGGCCACGTCTTTGTTAATAATTATTGCCATGGGAGGATATGGTATTCTTTTCAAGGGAAGCAACATTCACTTATGGGAACTGTGCTGATCTAGTAGGTCAGGAATTATGGTTTTTCATCAGGAGCTTATTGTTCTGTTCAGCTACCAGGAGCACAGATATCAGCTGGTTGAATTCAGTGAAGCTTCGCGCTCTATACTGCTGCTGCAGGAGCATGTTAGAGGCGTGGAATGTGCTGAAAGTCTTTTTCAA